GAATATACACGTCTAACGGAAAATTTCTCGCGCGGCGCCAGAAGTGAATCAGTTTCCTGTACTGCTTCTCATCTCTGTGGAAGGATACTGGCTCGTGACTTCAAGAGGCGTTCATCATGGTCTCCTACTTTAAATGGGACATAAGAGGCCTTGGCCCCATCAATGAAAAAGAAAGATTACTCCCACCACCGCCACTGACGAGACGACGCCAAGGTACTGGTCTTAGTTTTAATTTCATGATAATTACACCCTCGATTGTACAGACATTTATCCCGTTTAATATAGTGGGTCTGGCCGTTACTGCGCCCACATTTAGGTTTCTGACAGACATTCCGTATTCACCGCCGTGAGAACCTCAAATCCAACTTAGAAATTTGTAGGTTAAGTCCATAACGTATTCAGACTTACAAAATCATTCATATAAATACTTGTATTTTTATTTCACAAGTGTTTGTAAGTTCATTATAAATGCTGATAGTTTAGTGAGTGAAGAAACTTCCTAAGGGTTAGACGAATGGGGTTCGATTCCGGGCAGGGACTTTTCTCTTCGCTGCGTTTACACGGCGAAGGTTTGTAGAATACAGTCTGGGATCATAGTCAGGTACCTGCGTATAAACGGTCCGCGAGTTCCCCCACTCTCCTAGTACGTAAATCGAGCTATCTGCTTCAATCTGTAGCGCCAGACTTTGAAATCTTATTGCAAAATGCAAGTTTTCAAAACAACAACTGTGTCAGATACAGGAGAAGTATTAAAATAATATGTAACTCTGAAATGAAATGTGCGTATTTGAATACAATTTGAATTAAACTGTACTGAAGTAATTTATCGATTATGAGTAAGTACTGTTGCAGATAACAAAAACTGTCTGTTTTTAAAATTAATGTCAGGAGAAGATTCTTTGCACTTGGGTCCAAAGTGAGAATTATTTTTGGCTCGAGGGAACAAAAAAAGTTGGACCAATATGTTTTATAGCATTACATGTGGGATTCAGTGGAAGGTCCTAAAATTTTAGTATGCAGCTGAATGAGAGATCAAGAGTAAAATTTGAAACGGTAACAAATTCGGTGGCCTCTGCATTCCACCAGACCATAGATTGTGTACATAAATAAGAGCAATAAAATTTACTAAAATATCTATGGCATGATTTACAATAAACTGTTTGTACTCAATCCTGGGGTCTCGGGTTCGATTCCCGGCGGTGCCCGAATTTATAACTTGTGTTGGGCAAGGCCGTGGTCTAGGCAACACGGAGTTTTCCTCCTTGGCATCCCAACAATTACTCCATTCACACACAGAAGAAGGCAATGGCAAACCACTTCTGGATCATCTGCCAAGAACGTATATGAACAGGTCCCAGTCCGAGAAAAGGATGGAAGGATCCTGTTCATACGGACCTGTCGTCAGACAGAACACTAAAAAAAAAACTGGTCTTGTAATCCTGGGGTCTCGGGTTCGAATTTATGACTTGTGTTGGGCAAGGGCGTGGTCTAGGCAACACGGAGTTTTCCTCCGTGGCATCCCAACAATTACTCCATTCACACACAGAAGAAGGCAATGGCAAACCACTTCTGGATCATCTGTCAAGAACGTATATGAACAGGTCCTAGTCCGAGAAAAGGATGGAAGGATCCTGTTCATATGGACCTGTCCTCAGACAGAACACTAAATAAATAAACTCAAGAATTGAATTGAGTTTTGTGCAGAGTTGGTTGATAAAACAGTATAAATATTAAAATGGAGTAATTATTAGATATTTAACACGCGCAATAGTAATGCTACCATTTGAATAAAACTGATGGAATATGCAGACTCCTGTATAGGTTGGAGAAAATGTGGATATCGGTTCAATAAATAATTACTATATTAACATTCACTGAACAACGAGGGCACATTACATAAACTCATTAACGGGACCGATTTATGCAGCGATACAATAACAGCTTTCATTACGTACCTTACGTCACAATTCCACGAACGTAATATATATACAGGGCAAGTTATTTTATTTTACATACTTGGGAAATACATTTTCAGATCACAAAAATGATATCAAATTATATAAATATAATTAGCTGAATGGCAAACGTGACAATTGATACGAAATTGCGTTTACACAATATTACCTCAAAATCAGCACTCAGTTACAGCAGTGAAATATGGTGTGTTCTGTTATGGGTCTTAAGGAAAAATCACGCCAGGGTAAGAGCACGCAGGTTTTTCGTTCACGAGCTGTGAGCGAACGAGCAAACAAAGACGTCAACCCGCAATTATCGACTTTACATACGACGAACAGAGTGCGCATTATTTACTAACGGGAAATACGACAGTTTCTTACAAATTCATCTTCTAGAACTGAGGACAGTTCTCGGGATTGTGGCCGCAGTTAATCAAATCCTTACCCAGAAACAGAATTTGCCTTAGCGCCATTCTTCCCTAGTGCTTACTATCCGAACTACAGAAAACATCTTTGCCGGGATTCGAAGAAAGAAACAATTTTTCTTCGTGTCTCTTCTCATTATTTTTAAATTTATTTCCTTCTTACAGAGAACACATTTAATATTAATTGTTGAATTTTTACAGGAAGAATGGAATGTAACCAAATTATAACATAGAGTAATTCTCTTTGTATTATTTTCAACTACCAACATTGTAAATATCGAAGGACAATGGTTAGCTTTTATATGAACACTTTGTAAGAAAATGTTTTGGAATTTATAAATCACACATTGACATTGTTGTATTTCATTAGTATGCATTGCCGTCAACAATAAGCTTTTCTTAGTCTGAAAAGAACTGAGCTGTGAATCGCTTTTAGAAGAAGTGCGTCTTAGACAGAATCCTTTTGTGCTATTGAAGAATAGTGCCTTACACTCTCTGAATTTTGTTATTAATTGAATTGTTTATTGCTGGTGGACATCTAGTTCCCTTCCCGTGAACGAAGAGACAGGTAAAGACATTTTTATTTAATTTTTACTATTATTTATCAACATGTGTTTGTTAATACTTATGAACACTCGCAAGAAAATGAAGCTAGTTTCTTTGTTTCTAACACAATTTCAAATAATGTTAGACTGACTTTTGTTATTTACGGAAAAAATTGATTGCAACTG